GAAATACTTTCTCTGGGCCTCCAACTCAGAGGGAACAATTAAAGCCCGACAAGCCGAGCAGAGTCACATTGATACAAACAGGAGAGTTTTCAGAGTCTTCAGCAGTGATGAAGGTAAGTTAGACTAATTAAAGCAGAGCTCTGCAGCCTGCAGCTCATTAGGACTAAAGATCACAAACTCAAGTTTAACAAAGAAAACATACAAATTTAACCATTTTACACTTTTTAGTGAAAATTACTTTTTCTTTTTCACAACAAAATGACTTTAAAAGTGTTTAAGTAACAAAATGTGATAAAAATCAAAATCACATTTTGAGTATTTTTCACTTTAAACTTTTTCTACAATATTAAAAATAAAAAATGCAAATCAAATAATTCAGTTACTATTTAAATGAATCAATTAATAATTGGAGATTTTTATTTTTTTACATAATTGAGTCAAAACCTGCAGTTTAATAAGTTCTGGATAGAAAATAATTACAAACAAGATTTTATTTGATCTTAAATGTAAAATTATAGATTTTTTATCTGAATGGTTGTTTTTTAAAGAAAATTAACACTTGAATAAATACTGAAGTTATTGATTCACTGATTACCAAATTAGCTGACTATTATTTTAATAATTGATTATTTATCATTTTATTTAGATTTATTTTTCCTGATATTAAAATAAAAACCATGTGCAAATATAAACATCCTATATAAAAAAATGTAGCACAAATTCCTCAAAAATCTTTTTGAGGACGTTTTGTGTTTCTCTTTTTAATAAAAACCTTAAAGTAAAAATAAAATATTTCCTCTAACAGTTAAAACAGATAAAATGAAGTAAATATTTTAAAATGTCATTTTGTGGCTCTGGACCCGTTTTATTTACCTGGAAAAGCAAAAAATGTCTCTGGATTGGAAAAGCTGCAGAGAGCTGGACTAAACAAAGCCCACCATGACGAGGACGCGGAGCGCAAACGGGCCGAACAGAACCACCAGGAGCGACGAAGAAACAGAACCAGGATCAGGATCAAGACCAGGACCAGAACCAGGACCAGGATTAGAATCAGGATCAGAACCAGGGCCAGAACCAGGACCAGGATCAGAACCAGGTCCAGAACCAGGAGGGACAGGAAAACAGCGGCAGATCATCTTCAGTTCTCATCCTGAAACTCTGAACTCATCTGTGGAGAAAACAAGAACTAATTAATTCATCTGAAACAGAACCGGTTCAGTTCAAAACCGTTCATGTTCTCAATCTCTGAGCCACCAGGGGGCGCCAGAGCTGCAAGTTCAGCTTCATCTCAGGAACATTAAATGGCCTCTTTATCAGTCGTTATCTCAGTTTTATTACATCTTTTATACGTTTAATATTAGAGCCACGCTAAGATAAAATTACAAGAATAAAGTCACAATAAAACATGAATAAAGTCTTAGGATAATTTGTTGTGACAAAGTTGAACATTATATTATAATACGAGTTATTTTTGCTCATTTTAAACTGTTAAGACATAAAATATTAGCCAAAATGACTCAGAGATTAAGGCAAAATAATAATAAAAAAGTCGTACTATTATGAGAATAAAGTCATAATCTGAGAACTTTATTCTCTTCTGTTTTTGTTTATTTGTATTTTGTCTTAGTATGGCCCTAATACTCTGTCATACTTGAAAAATTCAAACCTTGGATATAAATAATACTTTGGTTAATGTTAGTCGCTGCTGAGGGAACAACTGGAAAAACTGATAAGCTGCCAATAATTACCGTAAAACCAGAATTAGATCTACAACCAATTTTTACTTCACTACAAGTAAAAATTGTTGAAGTATTTCTACTCTAACTTCAGTTCAACCTTTGGTTCCTGTTCCCATTTGAATGTTTAATAATTAATTATTTCCAATTATTTTCCACCAAATTTCTGCAAAAGCAGCAAATTTGACCAATAAATTGATACATTTGTGGAGGTAAAGCAGTTCAGGTTGTTTACTGTCCTCTGATTGGTCAGCTGCTAACCAATCCAGTGGATTTATTGATGGGTTCACCGTCCAAACCAAAGGTTGCTCAATCTGTGGTTCAGTTGCCAAGAAGAGGACGAAGCTTAAAGACTTTGGGTCGGCCATGCAGGGCTGCAACATGCAGCGACACTTTACCTGAGGGACAAAGTCCTCCAGGTCCATCTGCAGTGTCTGTGTCTGCAGACACAGGAGACGGACAGATTCAGAGCAGGACGGGGGGAAAGGTCAAAGGGCATCGCTAGAGCAACAGTCAGTGTCAGCACATGACTCGTAGCATCAGCTAATTTGTGCTGAAATAAATATTTAGAGGGAAGGTTTTTGTGTTTTTATCCATGACTGAAGTCATGAAAATAGTCAATGATTTAAAGAGAAAAACAAGAAATAAAGATCTAAACGGTTTAAATGCATTTTGCATTAAAAAGCTAACAGGACTATTTATGCTAACAGTTTTAAATGGAAAACTGACTGTGTTGAAAACCAGCAGTAGTTTATTGGCTGGCCAGTTTTGAAAGTTTATTCTGTCACTTTATCTTCTCTAATTTTTCTACAAACACCTTTACTGTTTCTTTTTCAATAAAGTAATTATAAAAGATGAATTTAAATCTTCTATATTTGCATAGATGTGAATGTTTTGAACGCTACACAACTTCTGCCAGCAGGAGGCGCCTCTGCACCATCACTGCTCCCACATCGTTTCACAGATCATCAGATCCGTTTTGGGCAGAGCGGAGGTCACATGTCCATTCGATGCTGAGGACTCACCACAGCGTCGATGTCTCTGGGGCTGACGTATCGCTCCAGCGCCTTGTAGTCGTCAGGAGACATGGGCATCATGTTGTCCTGCAGTCTGGACGGGTGTCTGACCAAAACAAGGCCTTTAGTCCAATTTAATCAGACTCAAAACATCATTTTAGAAAACTGTCAAAAAGGAACATTTTTGCTTCTAAATCACTAAGAGAAATGACATTTTTTCCAAATAATGAAGCAAATTTATTTTTAAATGTCACAATGAGCAGCTCTATGGTAAATGAAAGAAAAAGGGATGAAACAGGAAACATGCAGAAAAGTTTCTGTTTGTAAAGTAAAAATGCTACAAAATAAAAATGTTTGTTTTAAATGATTCTTTTGAGACATTCAGGTGTTGAAAACTTCTTATTAAAACTTCTTTGTGCTAAAACATGCGTTGTGTTTCTGATCTTACACTTCAGAGACGGAGATGAGCTCCGTCTTCATGTAGCCTCGGCTCTCCTGGACGTCCATGTCCATCGGCTCTGGAGCTGCAACAGAACCAGAACTTTATCCAGTCCGATCGGGCCGTTAGACGCGGTGGGATGAATCGGCGCGCGGCTCTCACTCTCTGAGGGTTTGGGGTAGTACTTCCCGAAGGCCTTGTCCTTGGGGACGTCGGGGTAGAGGAAGCGCAGCGGGTTCTCCGGGATGTTCTCCACGGCCATCACCTTGTAGGTGCGGATGATGTCGGGCAGCGACACGGCGGACAGCTCCTTCTTGGTGTACGGCTCCACCGAGTGATAGACGGGCTTATCTGGAAACAGGTTTCAGAAAGAAAAACAAACGTAATCAGAACTAATCTGGAAGAGCTGCAGCTTCTGCTCCAATGGGAGCCCAGCACAGTCCTTTCACAATAAAAGCCTGGGCTGCGTTACCGTGGACGTCGTGCTCGATCCAGGTGAAGGTGATGGCGCCCTCCTTGCTGCTCTCGCTGAACCTCAGCAGGAACGTCCCGGGACATTTGTTGCTCAGCAGCGCCTTCTCCCTCTCCTTGCTGATGAAGCCCATGATGCATCTGCACACAGGACAACACTGTAACCATGGAAACACTGCAGCCGCGGCGGCAGCAGCGGCGGCGAGTCCGGCGGCGGCGGCGGCGCTTACCCGTCGTTCCACAGCGACAGCAGGTGTCTCTTGATCAGGTCCAGGATTCCTTCGATCCACAGCCAGAAGGGGAACGATTTCTCATTGGCGCTTTGCTGCAGAGACGACAAACACATGAACCAGATTCACCCGACGACGACCCCGACCCCGACGACGACCCTGACCCCGACCCCGACCCCGGAGGCTCACCTTGCAGAACTTGGTCCAGGGGATCGTCCCGTCTGGATTCCTCTGAGCTTTTGCTCCTGTCAACAAAATCAATCATGTTACACATCAAAACCAGAAACACATAAAAATATCAAGCAGATTCAGAAGAAAAGGTGAAAAAAAATGAGATAAAGAAAATGAAATGAGAATAAACCCAAGATAAAATCACAAAACTAGAGAAAAAATAATTAGAAATGAGAATAAAACTGAGACAGAAGCAGAACAAAGCTGAGATGAAACAAGAAGAAAAAAACACAAAACCAAATATATTCAACGGTTTCTAGACAAAATATCTGATTACACTTAAAATAACTTTTCATCAACATGCAGCAGATTAATGGAAATAAATAATTTCTTAACATCAATGAAAACATTTTTTACATCAATGTTAAGAAGTTATTGACTAGTAAATTAGTTTCATCTTCTTTTAAGTGTAATTAGATATTTGGACAGAAAGACAGGCGTGTTTTGACAGTGTCCTGTGTGATGGTTCTGGTTCATGTTGCGGTTCTGGTTCTGACCCAGCAGCTTGTCGGCCAGCATGTTGAGCTGCTCCTGGTTCAGGCCTCTCTTGGTGACGGAGGAGAACTGCCAACTCAGCACCTCGGACAGCTGGGACCACTTGGCGGACGGCGGCGACAGGAAGAACTTGAGGTTCTGTTGGACAGAGCGGATAGTTACGAGTCGGGTCGGCACCGAGGAGGAGGAGGAGGAGGAGGAAGAACGGGCCTCACTTTGGGTTCTGTGGTCAGCATGTTGTACCAGAGGATGGAGGCCCAGCCGCTGGGCAGCTGGCAGACGTTGGAGATGACGACGAGGGGCAGAGCCATGGCCTGAAACACACACAGGGGTCAGTTCTACCGGGCCGACCCGGTACTGGAGGCCGGCTCCGGGTCCCGCTCACCTCCACCTTGATGTGGAGTCCTGGAGAACCGGACTGGTTCAGGTGCAGCTCCGACTCGAAGCTGAGCGAGTGAAGCTCCTCGGTGACGATCAGCGGACCCTGAGGGACACCGCAGGAAACGGTCAGAGAGAACCGAGCCGGACCAGAACCCACCGAGCCGGACCGGAACCCACCGAGCCGGACTGGAACCCACCGAGCCGGACCAGAACCCACTGACCCGGTGGGGTCAGGAGGTTCATATCTGAGTTTAAATTAAAGCGACTGAATCATCGCAGGTCAAGTCACTTTTATTCCTGAAGCTTCTCCTGATGCTGGGTTTATGAGGGTTTCAGTCCAGATTTATTCTTTGAAAAATAACATTTAGAGAACTGCAACTATTGATTTAGTTATTGATTACTCTATTGATTATTCCTCCAACAGAAGAAACATTTCACCAACATCCTGCACACTTTTCATTTTAGTCGTTTTTATTAGAAATACACTAAAAGATCAAACAAATACTTCAAATCCTTTTTTAGATAAGAAAACATTTAATTGTTTAAAATCCAATAATTTCATCTTCTGCTAAAAATATATTAAATGCAAAATGTTTATTTTTGTACAGTTTTGTCTGAATAACTGCTCTGAGTGTGTTGTTCTTTCAGAAAACAGTTTTTAAAAATGAATTACTAAATTAGTTGATTAATATTTCATTGAATTATTGATTTATTGATTTGACCTCTCACCTCGTTGGTTCTGTTCCCGGCCAGTTTTTGCTCCTTCAGTTGCTGCACAAATTAAAAATGTTACATTTCAGGTTAAAAACATTTTTCACAACAATAACAGTCTAAATATGATCTTTTTAAGTTTTATTTTATAAAAATCAAACTTTAATCAGTGAAACGGTTAGTGTAATATCCAACATGACCACTGGGGGGCGACATGTTTCTGCAGCTTCACTTACATTTGATTGTTTCTTTACCTTCTTGTTTGTATTTAGGTTACATAAGCTTTATAATTTCCACCTTCAGTCTCATTTGTGTCAATAGAAATAATTAAAAATGTAATTTTCATTAAATGTAAAGCGTCTTCATAAAGCAGACGTTGTGGTTCTGCTCCTCACCAGGTGCCTGAACTCGGCCGCCAGGCTGCCGTTGGACTCCTCCATGTTCATCACCTTGGTGTTCGTTCCCAGGATGTTGAACTTACGGAACCTGGAAACAGACCACATGCGTCGTTTGATTTTGGAGATGTTGACCTTTGACCTCTGGAAACATTTATTGACTTGTCTGATCTATAAAAATGCAACAGTGCTGATAGAATATCATGAAAAATGATTTCAAATCTCATTTTCCACCTTTAAACTGATCAATTTTCTGCACAATTTAGAAAAACACATTAGAGAAGTTTTTAGCAGAAACAACCTGGTTGCATTAAATGAAGTTTCTTTGTCTTAAATCAGTTTTTTGAGTTTTATCAGACGCTAAAGCTGACCCAGCAGGATGCGGTAAAGTTTCAGACCTACCCTTTCTTCTCGGTGACGTCCCTGTGGGAAACAAAACGCAGAGTTATTGTCGCAGACGGAAGCGGTTTGAACTCGTCCACATGAGCTGGGCTTACTTATCGAACACGGCTTTGACTTTGAGCTGGTAGTTGAACTCATGAAGCTTCACCAGGAACCTGAACACAGACAGGAAGTTAAAAGCTCCAGTGAAAACATTAAAGCTGGAGGTGGAAGAAGAAGTGACTTCCTGCTGAGTTTTACCGGAGCTTCACGGTGAACTGGACGCCTGTCTTCAGCACCAGCGGTCTCTGTGGGTGTGTGGGCATGCAGGGCTGCCGCTCTACCACCAGAGAGCTGCAAACACAAGCAGACGCCATGTTGGCCTGGCGGCGGCAGCAGCTGCGGCGGCATTAGCTGCGGCGGCAGCAGCTGTGGCGGCGGCTGCGGCGTCTGGAGCCGTACAGCTGCAGCTCCAGACAACAGGTCGCAGTCGTACCTGGACAGCAGGTTCTTCAGCAGCTCCAGAGCGCGGTTCTCCAGGTGGCTCTTCTTCTGGGAGATGGGGTCGTTTTCGTACGTGAACTTCTGCTCCAGCTCCAGCATCTTGTTCAGGTGCTGCCGCACCTGCTGCAGCGACTCGGCGACGGCGGTGAACCTGCAGCAGCAGAAACGCTCAATCAGACAGAAACAGACGGAGGAAACGCTTTTCAGCTCCTGAAGTAAAAAAAAAAAAAAATCACTCCAAATGAAGATGGAAGATTAATTTGTAGAAAATGTTGGAAATTCAAAACGTAAAAATTACATAAACCTTTTCTGTTTAAACTCATTAATTTTCAGGTGTTTTTAAGATAAAATTACATCAATATTTTCATAATTAAACAAAAATTGTCAAAGTTTAGCTCTTATTTGTATTATACATTTGTGATTTCTGATTTAGAAAAGAGCAAAAAAGAAAAAAATGTCTTTTTTTTTCTTTTTTGCTCGTATGAAATAAGCAGCAATTGGAAATGAGAGTCACCTTTAAAAACAAGTAAATAAGTAAATTTAAAAAATGAAATAAGGAAATAAGGTCTGGTATCAGAAAAAAAATTCTAATCTTGTATAAAAAGAAAACAGAAATCTGAAAATGAAATCTGGTACGAGAGAAATAATAATTGGAAAATTAAGACTTAAAAAAACAACAACAAATACATAAAAAAATTACATAAGATCTGGGATGAAAAAAGTAACAGTAAGAAATCAGATTTTCTATAAAAAAATAAAAAATATATATTATGACCTAAATAAAATTTAAAGACCTGGTATGATAAAATCAGTAATTGTAAATCAGATTAAATATAAAAACTAAATGTCTTTATTAATTACATTAAACTAAATGTCTTTATTAATTACATTAAACTAAATGTCTATTAATTACATTAAACTAAATGTTGCAGATCATATTGGTGTCGCTGTCTCACCAGTTCTGCAGCTGGTCCACGCAGGCGTTGGGCGGGCCGCCGATGCAGGCGATCTGCTGCCGCTGCTTCCACTCCGGCAGCTCCTCGTTGATCAGGTCTTGGATCAAACTCTGGGTGAGGTTCAGCAGCTCGCTCAGGAAGGACACCACGTCCTGCCACACAAAACGCACCGTGAGTCTGCTGGCCTCCACAGGAAGCGCTGCAGAGCGCGGCGCCGCGTGGCGGCGGCGACTCTCACGTGGCGTTTCTGCTTCAGCTCGATGCACATCCTGGCCGTGTTGAACTTCTCCTTCTCCAGCTCCTTCGCCGTCATGCCGTTCAGCTCGTTCTCTGCAGGAGGGAAACTCGCATCATGTTACACACAAAGGGACACAAACGCAGCAACACAGTTTGAGTAAATATACGCAAACCTTGACCTGCTGCGAAAACGTGCAACAAATGTAACAAAAACAGCTTTAACTGGACCATAAATTGTCCCAGGAGTCACAGCAATAAATAATTATGTTGACTTGAGTCTGAAAGATCAATAATCTTTCCACTATATTGATACTCTATTTATCAACAGCTGGAGCAGAACCCGGCCTGCTTACGGTTCTTCAGCGTGTTCATCTTGAAGTCGTACTCGTCCTGCAGATCCTCCAGGTTCTTCAGCATCTGATCCAAGAACTGGAGAAAAACTGGACCTTTAATGAGGTTTAAACAGAAACCCGACAGGATGGATGAGCTGCTTTAATCTGAGTTTATCAAACCTGAACTTTGTCTTTCAGCTCCTTCACTTTGTTGTCCAGCTTCTGCTTCTCCACCACCATGGCAGAAACGGTTCCTTCTCCTTCCTGCTGCGGAAACAGCATCAGGTTTTTACCATGTGGAAAAATAACTGGAAACTTAGCGCCATATTCACAGGAAGCCAGTTTATGAAAGGGGAGAATAATTGTCTGTCTGTTTAATCAGAAACACAGAAGAAGAAGAAGCTAGCAGCTAGCTGCAGCTAGCCATGTCTGCAAATCATAAACATTTAAATCAGTGGAAGGAGATTTATAATATTCAGGAGTTTATGGAATGAAACAATTAATCAGATTAATCAATTATCTAAATAATTATGAACTTATTTAGTAGTTGATTCAAAGTTATTTGCTTTATACAGACTATAAAATTTTTTATTTGCTGAAAGAAACCCAGTCAAAGCAGAAATTAAGGAATAATTGTACATAAAATATAAACATTTTGTATTTTGCATGTAAAACCATTTTTGCCGGTAAATCTATTTTAACCAAAAGTCCTCAATTATTGTAGTTTTTGCTACTCCTGATTAACATTTTGTTAAATTAAATCAACTTTTGTTATCCAGTTATTAATTTGTTAATAGATAAAAATAGTTAAAACATCAGTATTGATGTCAAATGAAGCAGAAAAGACCTTTTAATGTCTTCATTTAACTGTAGCTGAATCCTTTTTGGACAATAAAATCTTTTTCTTATTTAGAAAAATCTATGGAATTATTTTTATTCTTTACATTTCTTTGTGAATTGTGTAAATGACCTTTAATGGTTAAATGAAAAATCTGCAGAAAACACAATGTTTTTAAAATCAGAATAATTGATCACTATAATAATTCTCAGCTGCAGCACTATTTTATTTAGTCACAAAATGATTAATTAACGTTTGAATAAATTTGGTTAAAATGGAAAAACAATATATTTGCAGGTTTTTACCTCGGCTTCTTTTGCACAGGCCAAGATCTTCTGCTCCTCCTTCAGGTTCCTGGAGATGATCATCGCCATGGTAACAGGGTCCTCCTGGAAGCGATCCTGCAGACAGACGATGGCGGCCGGTCAGAGCGCGTTAACCTCTGACCCCAGGGCGGTGGCGCTGGCGGCGGCGGATCTGACCTGCAGGTTCCTCTTGATCTTGCGGAAGTTGTGCTGCTGCAGGAAGTTGCTCTCCAGAGCGAAGCGGCTGTGCTGGTCGTCCAGCTGCGCCAGCAGGTCGTGGAAGCGGATGGTGGCCAGCGAGTCCTGCACCGCCACCGTATCCCTGGCAACAAACAGGAAGAAACAACATGAAGGCTTCGCTTCAGACGGGAAGAACGTCGGAGCAGCTCTTTTTCAAACTACCGCTCTTTCCTTTCCTTTTTCATCCTTAACTCAGTTGTTGTCATGCGTAACCATAGCAACAGGGTGTTGAAAAATTGTATTTTCTCTCACATTTGTTGCAAAATCATTCAGTTTCACTTTGGGATCAATAAGGTTTCAGGGTTTGTTCATGTTTCTCTCAGGAAAATCCAAACACTTTTCAAGATAAATTTTCAAACTTTTCCAGTAACAAACCTTGGAGATAAAAACATTAAAATAAACTAAAAGCACAATAATGTCTTAATATTAGAGTTGGGTAGTAATGTTTCAGAGAAAATGTACTTTTAGGAGTATTTTAGGTGATGTTTTCATGAAGTGTCGCTGTCGTTACGTGAATTAACTGGCACTGAAGCAGAATGGGCTTCTTACCAGTCGATGCTCTCGATCCACCTGCTCAGGTACTGCCGGATGTCCATGGGGAAGGAGTCATCGTACAGCTGGTCCACCTGCTCCAGGTACTTACTGTCCAGCATCTGCAGCTGGCACCACTGCGCCATCTGCTGGCCACAAGCAGCAGCTGCATCAGGACTCACTTCAATTTAATTAGAAGAAAAACTGGAAACTATTTAATATGTCATCAATTAATGAATTTTAGGGGCTTAAACTGTAGGTAAAGTGAACAAATAGATATTTCTGATGTATATTTTAGTATTGGAATCAGACTGCCAGGATAATAACGAGCATTTATCTGCATTTCTTTTCAATCAAAGCTTCTGATGCTGATGAAATCTCACCAGACCTGATTGTTTTTGGCCCCAGAGGGAGACAAAATTAGGAAATCAGAAAATTCCTCCTTGATATGATTTTATCAGAAACTGAAAGCTAAAGGAACCTGATGTAAGCAGCTAAAGAAGATGCTGTTTCACTGCGATCGGTGGCCAAGAGGCCAAAAACACTGAAAAATACAATAAAAACTAAATCACGCTTTCTCAAATACCCAGCTGCATTTTAAACAAGAAATAAAAGCACTGCGCAACAATCCTTGAAGAAATTTTGGTTCAGTTTTTCAGTTCAGGTTGTGTAAAAACAGCGGAACATCCCTTTAAAGCTAACCAGATGTATTGACTGTCCTGCATGTTAGCTAGCAGCAGCTGTTCAGGTGATGCTACATATTAGCATATTAAACATTAATAACACCGACTACATAGCAAAGCACTTCTCTTGCCATATTGTATCCATAAAGGCCATTATACCCGACATTTTTTATTTTTCCAAACTTTACTAGAGCTACAAACTTCAGCAACTAGCTTAGCCGAGTGTTTTGTGATGCTAATAAAAACAAGTGCATCATTAAACGCTTCCATGGTTATTCAGACAGGACAATAAACTTACTTTTAGGTCTGTGGAAGGTTATTATCTCGCCGTGAAAACAGGTTTTGTTTTCTGAAAGCTTGTTCTGTTACAAGAACGGCAGGTGAGTCCTCCTGTCAGCTTCTCGTCCCCTTTCCTTTGACGAAACCTAGCTAATAGTTCTCAGCCAATTACAACGAAGAACCGACTTAGAGGCTCCCGCCTACTTCCTGGTCTTAGCCAATCGGAAAAAGAAAAAGTGGCTGTTCCGCCAATCATCACATATATGCACAATAACAATATATTAACACCAACCTTTGACTCTCGAGTTTCATTTTGTGGAGTTTAGCTCACGTTTAGGATTAATCCTATACTTTTACGTATTTTAGATAAATCAGATTGCATTTGAAATAAATTCTCAACCGTCAGGTGAAAAACAATTCGTATTTTAGGGGGAGTAAGTCGGTTGAGAGAACAGCCTGGGGAAATCACGTGTTTTCAGAGAAAGAAGGTAAAACTGCGTCAATTGCGAAACTGAAACTTAAGGAGAAAATAAAGGGGAGTTTGTCCCAAACTAAAGACAAACCAAAACACCACTGCTCGAATTCTGAATAAAAAATTTAGTGACTTTTGTCAAAATAATTTATTTTTCCTAAATATAAAACTTAAATCTATGTGGAAAAAAGTTATTGTTATAAATATTTTGCTTTCAAATGACATGAAGTGATTTCAGTTCACTTTTTCTAAACATTCAGACAGAAATACAGTGGGTGGTTTAAGCTAAAGCATACGTGTTAGAGTGGCCTAGTCAAAGTCCAGACGCATGCATGTAGATTGCAAGACCTGAACATTGACTGAGATAGAACTATTTTTGCAACGCATGGATGGAAATACCAGTTTTTAATTATGCAAAGCTACCAGAAACATACCTCAAAATATTTGCAGGTGATGCAAATATTTTGCATCACCCGATTCTAAATATCAACTTTATAAGCAAATTCACACCAAAGTGTTCATATTTTTATTTGGAAAATATGGAAGAATCAATAAGAAAACACACACAAAAAAGTTGTGACACAAAAAGGAAAAATTTTAGTGACAAGAAGTTATGATGGGAATCAACATGATTAAAGGTTATTTTATTATTTATCAATTTATCTCCAGAAACTGGTTTGAAATGCTAAGTTTGATAGAAAAGAGATGAAGTGCAGATGTAAGAGAAATGTAAAACTTATTAAATATTTTAAAATCCTAAATTGGAAACAAAGAAAATGTTAAACTTTATAAAAGGATGTAATTTTTAGAACCAAACCTGTTTAAAGTGATCAGAGATGAGAATCTGAGTGAGTTTCAGCAGAACAAAGTCTTTTCGGGTCAGAAACCCCCATGAAGACACCAACAGTCAGGACATCTGCTCTGGGAATTAAACTGGGATTGCGCCTCCAACTGGGATCCCAGTTTCCGCTCCGACGCTGATCCATGTTTAGACCTCGGAAAATACGGATTAAATGTTTCAGGTTGACTCAAAACATCAACATTTCATATTTCTTCCAGACTAAAACCTCAAGCTGGGCTGCAGTTCTCTTGATCCACCACTAGATGCTGCTGTGCTACATTGACGCAGCTCACTTCTCTACAGAACAAAAATGATTCACAGCGTTAGAACAAATGAGAATTTCCACCTTTAGGCCAAATACTTGTAGTTTTGTGTGCAAATATAGGAATATTATTTTATTCACCTCTGATGATCTTCTGAACAAATCTCAGCGAGAAAAGAGCAAACAGACAAAAGGTGGCGTGTCATTCGGTTCATGTTTTCAAAATAAGGAGGACTTCCTGCAGGGTTTGCTCTGGTCAAGGCTCAAATCAGGACAGGCAGCAGCAGGAAGCCTCGTTTCAGACACCAAATCTATTCAAGGTCCAAACTTCTGCAGTCACACAAAACTAAAACTGCAGGATTTGTGGTGAAAATATTGAGGATAAATATATACATTTAACAGGAATTTGGCATAAAAAATCCTGCAAGTTAATTTTTCAGTTTATTACAAGTGCAAACTCAGATATGATGAACTCACAATAAGGTGCAACACATGAGATAAACTCAATTTTTCATATTTATATATAGTGAGCAGCACAAACGTTAGAATAAAATCTTCTATTTGAATAAAAACAAACCCTTTTCCTCCACAACATGATGAACAATTAATGCTCATCTGTGGAAATAATACTGAGAAAATCAAGTCATATTTAATTATCAAACAAAAACTGTTTCCCCTCATATTTAATGTTCAGTATTTAAATTTTTCCTCACGAACATTAAAAATATATGCAGAAAATCTGCAATATATAAAAATAAAATTTAGGAAGGTGAAACACCAACATTTAATGTTATTGGTTGGTATTTGTAAACCAGCCAATCCAGGAGTTTCACTTACTTTACTTTGTGCTGATTGGCTGAAGCACAAAGTAAAGTGCTTCAGCCACTTTACTTTGTAATAAAAACATCAGCTTCTGCAGTAGCATAACAGTTTTCACTGCATATTCAGGAATGTTTGCTGTCTGCACTACTAACATCCTTAGATCTACATGTTTTCAGAGAGTTCCTCTGGAATCTGCTAATTATAAATCTGCAAATATGTTTATTTTGTAGATAATTGTATATGGGAAAAAATTAAAAGAAAATTGATGCCAAATAATCTCAGGAATTTGCTTGCTTCCTCTTGAAAAAATGTAAGCTTGAAAACTTTCTATTTTTATATATTTACACATACAATTTGTGACTTTTTTTCTTACAAACTTTTAACTTTTGAAACTCCTAAATTTCAAAAGTTTTTCTGCCAAATTTCTGAGATTAATCTAGCAGATCGTTGGATCCAAACTGGTGATTCCTACAGGTTTTCTTCCAGAGCCCAGGTAAAGACGGAGTCCCAGATCCATGTTCCGACTTCAGAACAAAACAATAAAGCATTGTTGGACCCGACTGGCCCAAACCAGAACTACAGTTGATAAAGTGATTTGGCCGGGTACATTCACAACTTGTCAGTGAGAATTTACATTCTGCTTGGTGCTTTAACAACATTCAGTTTGGTGCCTAAAAGTCTCCTGAGTCTCTTAGTTTGGTCTCATAACGGTCAAAATATTTAACATGTATTTAATATTTAATAACTCAAAGTCTTAGAATTTATTTCCACTCTGTTTATAGTCCTATTTATGACAGCATATCGGGGCCACTGTAGATACAAAAAATAAATTCTGCCAACAAATTTCTGAACTCAAATAGTCAAAAATTTGCAAGAAAAAAAAATCAAGTTAATCTCAGAAATGTTCTGAAAAACGTCCGAAGATTTCTAAACTCTGAAAGTTTAAAATTTACGAGGACAGACTCAGAAATGTGTAAGTTAATCTCAGAAAAAAATGGTCAAGAAAAAATCTGAAAATTACTTGTATCCAAAATTTGGAAAAAAAACAAAACCAAAAACATTTAAATTTGAGATTAATCTCCTTAATACTCTTGACAAATTCTGAGCACCAAAAGAAAGAAAATCTTACAAGAAAAAATTTTGGGATTAATTTAAAAAATGTTCCAGAGAAAACATGAACATTTCTGAGATCCAGAAGAACATAATATTTTACTTTTGAAAGCATGAAAATGTCCAACATTTGAAAACGGTAAATTTCTGAGAATAATTTCAAATCAAATTTATTTGACATTCATTATAAATCATTTTTATTTGACTTTTAGAACTCCTGGATCTCATTCATGTCTTTTTTTCCCTGAGATCTCAGAATTTCTCAGTTTGTCTTGCAAATGTTTCAGTTTTGGAGCTCAGAGGTTAACAAGAGATTCATCTAAACGTTTCTGAGTTTTTGGCAGAAACATATTTATTTTTTTCTAGCTATAATGACCCTGACTAGCCGTGTTATTTGATTGAATCTACTGCGTTTTGTTTGGGAAACGGTTTCTGGCCGCCGTCAGGATGACGCCGTTCCTTCAGATCCTTCGTTCATGAACAGGTTCTGCAGGATTTTGTTTTCTCAGTAAATGAACCTTCGTCTCTATGAGCAGCCACAGTTGTCCACCACCATGGACGGGATCTTCCCGTAGATGATCTGCTCCTTGCGGTTAAAGTACAGCATGTTTATGGGCGACATCTTGGTGGGTGTGCAGCAGGGCCCTGCGGAGCCCCGCGGGTTGGCCTTGTTCACCAGGTGTGCGTGCGGATACTGCTGCAGGTGGAGGAACTCGCACTCCCCTGAGCAGTAGTTGGCACGATAACGTTTGGGGGCGATGATCCAGTCCCAGCCGAACTCCTCGAAGTCGACGGTGAGCGGGTAGCGGCAGCAGCGGGTCTCTGAGGATTCCTCGTCGCAGTCCAGGCCGGAGTCTCGCCGGGAACGCTTGGAGCTGTCCAGAATCTTCACTTCGATGAACGGTTGCTGGAAGGAAAACAAACATTTAGACGAAATGCAGGAAATGACAACAGTTTGGACATTTGTAAAAAACACTAAAGAAATCAGAAGCTGGATGTCAGACTTTGGAAGGACAGATGCTGAGTTTCCATGACAAATGTGAGCAAAACTGAAGTAAGAACTGACATTTCTGAGCTTCAAAAGTTTAAAATTTACATAAAAGAACCTTAGAAATGTTGAGATTAATGTCTCAAATCTGCCAGAAAAACTTGGAAAATTCTGAGATCCAAAAGATGGAAAACTACCAAAAATAATTCAGAAATGTTGAGATTAATTTCAGATATAGAAAAAACCTGGACGTTTCTGAGATCCAAATATAAAAAAAAAAAATCAACTTGTGGATCTCAAAACATTTCCAAAAGTTAAGTTTTCCTTAGAAATGTGAGCAAAACTTTGTCAACTAATATAGAAAAACACAATTTAGAAATTGGTGAGTTTCAAATAAACAATTAAAAATCACATATTAATGTGATCTGTTAACTATGTTTTCATTAACTTATTTTTGTTTAGCAAAAACAGGAAACTTCAAACCAGCTGCATTGCACAAACACAAAACCTTAATACACATTGTCTGATTTCTTAGGCTAATATTTTATTGTGCTCGAAATAAGACAAAATAACTTACAAGTAACTTGTCAGCAGGATATCGGGGCTTGTTTTATGAAATAATGTTGATGAAAAAGGAATAGATCCACTTGCTGATAATTTCACTTGTAAAAAGGAAAAAATATCTCATTATAATTGAAATAATCTGAAAGTGGAGCTTTTCCTTTTTCATCAATATTAAGGATCAATATTATCTTAAAACAAGCTCCTGTATCTTCCTGAAAAGTTACTTGCAAGTTAGTTTTGAATTATTTCAAGCATATTAATATATCTGCACTAAAAACTAGACCAAAAATACTCGGTAAGATTTTATTGAACTAAAATCTGCCACTTGAGGAGTTTTGGGATAAACAGATTCAAATTCAAAGTGTTTATTCAGTTTGCTGCTCTTATGGAGCTGTTTCTCAACAAATGGACTTTATTTGAGTCTGTATCCTCCAGCTAACAATTAATGGATTTCTAAATCAGTTGATTGTTTCATTAATGATCAGTACTGAGACGTAAAGGACAGCTGGTCGTCTCACCAGTCCCTCCTCTCCAGGCTCGGCCGATGTGACGGCCAGGTCTTCTCCCCTGCTGCTGAAGGCGTTGATGTCCAGGCCGTAGCTGCTCTCCGGCTGCCGCAGCCAGGCCTGCAGCAGGGACTTGATGTCGATGCTCTGCCAGGAGCTGGCTCCGGCCTCCGTGTCCACCTTCAGGGAGCGGACACGGACCCGCGTGCCGTTTCCCTCCCTGGCCGGCCGGAGGCGCGACACCTGCAGGAAGACGGTGGTGACGGAGAGCGCCGGCCGCAGGTGAACCCACAGCTGGGCGCTCAGGATGTTCTTAGGCTGGATCTTCGGACTGAGGCTGAAGCGGCAGCAGGAGGAAAGCTGCCCTGCAGGGACGGGATTGGCTGGAAGAGAGAGACAGAACCATGGGAGAGGAAACAAAAACTACTCAAGTAAGAGCAGAAAGTATCTGCATTTGATTACATCATCAGATGGACCAAAATATACATGCAAGTGGAAATATTGGTGTTTTTAGACCAAATCGAAACAATGATTAAATCTGAATTATTTTCCAAATCAATTTGTTTCAGTATAAGAAATGAAACCTGGACAGTAACTAGTAACATTTACTTCAGTAACCGTTTTTAAAAACGTACTTTAAGGACTATTTTCACTGCGCAGTACTTTTTACATTTACTTGAGTAATTTCATGATTAAATATTTCTTTTCTTACTGGAGTAAAATTTTGGGATTTTCTACTTTTTGAATGAAAAGCAATAATTGTTTAAATTCACCAGACACACCTGCAGATTTGATTAAACTTTTATTAGTTTAATACGAAAAGAAAATTATTTTGGAAACAATTTGTTTTGCCTAATTGTGTTATTTTTGTTATTTATGCAATTTTTTGTCATTTTTGTCCCCAAAAATACCAAAATTCCCACTTAATTTCTCTTTTGTTTCGAGATCATTTAAAGTGTGAAATAATTGATAATTTGATCAGTTTCTCAACACTTGAGTAAATGTTTCACTAAATACTTTCTTACTCAAGTTTATTTTACTTGAGTAAAAACATGCAGCAGTGCTGCTGCCCGTCTCTTATCAAACTTTTCACCGTTTCTGCTCTTTAACCATCTTTACAAACAGGATTAACACACAGACTTCGTTTGTCCCCACTTACGCTTCGTGGCCATGGTGATGATGGTCTGGGTCGTGGCGTGCTCCTCGTCCTCCGCCCGCGGGTCGTACTGGTCCAGCAGCTGCGTCAGCGGCGGCGCCTTGGGGATGAGCTGGCGGATCACGTCCCGGCTGATGTTGGGCGCCTGCTCCAGCCGCAGGATGCTGAGGATCTGCGAGCGGATGCTGTGGAGCCGCAGCTGCTTGCTGTGCTCCCGGAAGTCGCAGGCCGAGCATTGCTCCAAGCTCTCCGCCAGCAGCTTGGAGGTCCGGTTCATCTCCATGGCGCGGCCCGCAGACAGGACGGCGGCGGCGAGGGAGAGGAAGAGGAGCATCCTGCAGAGAGGAAGGACAGAGTGACTCTGGATTGAGGCTGGACTCGGGACTTTATGATTGGCTGCCAAAGGACTTTTTTTCCCTCTTTTTAAAGATTTTTAAAGAGGCAGAAGGAGTTTTAAAATATTCAGTGATGGGATTTTAAAATATAGAGTAGAATCATTTGCAGAGGTGGGCAGAGTAAGAGCAGCACGACTTTAAAATGTTTTTAATCAAGTGAAAATAAAAAGACACCTTCAAGAAATTACTCAAAAAAAGCATTTGGTAAAATGTTTACTGATCAAACTATCAATCATTTAATATTTAAAAATTACATCACCAGATGGACCAAAATATAAAAAAGAAAGTTTAAGATTTTAAGGATGAAAATGACAATAATTCATACAAGTAAGAAAATCAGGCAGAAATATTTCCATATCAGTTTCTTTCAATTAAAAAAAACTTATAAAACTTTTACAAAAACTGCAGGTGTGTTTCTGCATCCGGTGAACTTTTGATTAAAACATGTTTTTAATTCAGTGGGTAGAAAATCCTGAACTCTCACTCATGTAGGAGCAGAAATAATTCATATTAAAATTACTCAATTAAAAGTAAAAACTACAGCTCAACAAAAATCCTCCTAAAAGTTTTTTTTTTTTCTAAAAAAGTTACTCTAGTAAATGCAACTCATTACTATCACACCCACCGATTATCAACAGGAACCACTGCAAGCGTCTGCAGAACAGAAACGTTTCCAAAAACGTTTATTGGAAGAAAAATGGAGCAGAAATCTTTTTGGAGTCACATTTCAGCTCTCCTGCGCCACCTGCTGGTTCAACCTGTCACTGCAGGTTAACGTTTCTTCAGAAATCCTTTATGCACCTTTTATTCTAACTTTATTGTCTTAAAGTTCCAAAATGTCTTCTTTGTTTTGAAGGTTGGTATCTTGAGACTTTTTTTGTGCTCTCCTAGTAAGGAAGTACCCATTGCATCCTGGGAAGTGTAGTAGAAATGCAAAAATCAGAGTTGAGCAAAACATTTTTTGCTTTTAGAGTAAAATAAATCTGACTCATAGAAATCTGTCCTGACATGAAAGTGGCATGCAAACATGCCCCAAATATCTACATATTAAATGTTACATTTATTCTGGTTAAAAATGTTTTTCTCAGACGTTTCATTCAAACCTGACAGGCCGTTCAATAACTGGCTGAGGGGAGGAGCCGCGTTACGCCCAAACGTCACTGAGATAAAACATTCCCAACTGGAGGCGCAGCTGCAGCCGCAGGGCAACAACGTAAAAAAAAAACAAACACAACTATTATTGTTTTAAAGTAAAATGAACCCAAGTCTCTCTATGTTTAATTTTTAAAATCCTGAAGTTCTGATGAACATCTGCTATTAATTCAAGTTTAATTACCGACATCATGTTTGTAACAAAAAAACCAAAAAACTTCATATCTGGATTTAAACAAAGATGTTTCAGTTTATTTCATAAAACCAAAAGCAGGATGCATTTTCTTTACGTTTTATAAAAGCTGCTGGAATACAAAATAAAACTGAATAATTCCAGTTAGAATGGGTTTAATGTAAAACATTCTGGGAAGATTTAGCATTTCCTGATTTTTCTTCTTCTTTGGTTGGAGCAGATCAGCCTGTAAGATAAACAAAACAATGTTAGTTTTCCATTTCTCATATTTGTGTTGTTTCCATGTCAGGCTGAACAGAAGTAGTTTTTCTTGATTCATTACGCATCATGATGCGTAATGACGTTTGAATGTCGCATCCTGATTGGCTCATGAAGTTCAAAGACAAAACACTTTACAACAGGAGGGACTCCATTCAGCTTAATTGGAATCCATGTTTACAAAAAAACTAACCCAAAAGCCTTTTTGCTGTTGAATTATTTAATAAACAGACATTTATTTATCTTTTTTCCTCTTTTATTCAGGATTTTGAACCATCAGATTGGAGCAAACAGCTTTTCAATGTTTCAGGAAGCTGATCATTTGTGCAGCTTCTTTAGAAATGTGGTTTGTGGATACTGACATTAGTGTTAGCAACATGTTTAGCATTGAGATGCTACTTTAAGCATGAAAAGCTTCGCTGATAGGCTAACTCCTGGTAGCACATTAACAGTCTTATCCTGTTCCCCATCAGACCAGTTTTTGAAGTAAATTAGCCACCAGAAGCCAGAAGAAGCAGATTTGTTGCTCATTGCTGTTGAAAGCGGTTTCCACTTGTGCGTTAGATTTAGGAGCGTACCAGAAACACAAATATGAAAGTTCTGGCTTGGGACTTTTGCATATATAAAAAAAAAACAATCAAGTGTGAATATCAATGTATTAAATTATTAAAAAGTAAAACGTCCTGGCTCTGAGGAAGAAAGGGCAAAGAAAACAAAGTTTCAAAGTTTTGTAGTTAAGAGAGCAAAGCTGGCTGAAAACCCCCCAAAACATCAAAAAATGAATCACCTGTTTTAATTCCTCTACCAGCGTCCACCTCGTCCACGTCCACGACCATGGCCGTGCCCGTGTCCATGTCCGTGTCCGTGTCCGTGTCCGTGTTCATGGCCGTGCTTGCGGTCGCCGCTGCCGCTTCGCTTCCTTTCGCGACTGCCGCTTCGCTTGCCGCTACGTCTCTCAGGACTGTGTGTGTCCTTGTCATGGTCCCGGTCACAACCCCGGTCATCGTGTCTGTCCCGGTCCCGGTCATCGTGTCTGTCCCGGTCCCGGTCATCGTGTCTGTCCCGGTCCCGGTCATTGTCATTGTTAAAAGCAAGATCCAGATCTAAGTCAGACATTCCCCTTCCCTTGTCCCCATGATCTCTGTTGTCTCCTCCACGGCGGCCATCTTGTCCATGGTCTGAACCATGACCTCCATCACCTCCATGAGAGGAATTGTCCCCCGGTTGGGGGCCCAGGTCATAGCCTGAAGGGTGCTGATCTGAGAATGCATCAGTAGAAAGTCAATTTTTTTAATTAAAAAATATATACATCCTAAAAAAGTACAGGAATGAGTTTTATTTACCAGAGGTGCCACTGAACATGTCTGTCTCTGGTGCAGATGATCTGTTGATAAAAGAAAACAAGGCGTTGGCTTCTGGTGTTACAGTAAAACCAGTTCAACAAGAACCAGGATAATTCTAGGCTTCAGATGTTAGTGTGCAGCTCCAACATGACATCTTAGACAAAGCATCAAAATGTAAAACTTAAATGTTCCAGCTTAAGAATTAAACATGTTTTTCATTCATATATTCAAGCTTAACCAAGAGCTTTGCTTCCATGTGGAGCAAAAGTTATGAATTTTTCAATCAAAGAAAACAACCAACATGCCTGGCTTTAGCTATGCTGGTGCAGAATGAGCTAAATTCATTCATCCAACATGTTTATCTAAAACACAATGAGAAACTGTCCAGGGAGTCAGGGAGAGTACTTACGATGTGAACAGCCGCCGACGGCCCTGCCTTCTGTCACTGGAGAGACGATGCGCCCAAAAGTAGTGCGCACTTTCTGGTAAGACTGGATTTTTGTTCCGGTGAGTCATTACTGGCTGTTGAAGGAGGAAGATCTTCCAATGGGAAACATACATGTGAAAAAAGAATGAACTCAAACATGTTGCATTAACTCCATCTGCAGCTAAACCAAATAACTTTCTTGATAAAATGCATACAGAAACGTGCATCGGGGGGAGATTCAAAAATCTCTGTAAACAGGAAGGCAGACTGCAGTAACAATCAGAAAACATAAAGGAATATATGAACCAATCAGCTCACTGACAGGAAATCAGGAAATTACACCGATTTTTCATTCACCTTCAGGGAACAGAGTGAAAAAATCCCGTTAATTTTGTTAATTCATCACTGAAACCAAATAAATCTACAGATATGTCAAGCTGGCTAAATTACTACACTGTACAAAAGAAAAAGAAAAAGGAAGTCTTAATGTACAGTTAAATAGGGAAGCTGTGGTTGCTAAAATTTCACTGCATTTATGTGGGAAAATTTGTATCAACACTATATTTATATCCTTCATATTCTATTTTTCTAATAATTTTAATATAAAATCATTTCCCACAATCTTAACAGATAAATGAACCCTACTGCTTCACTATGAAACACTTTAAGGTCACAAATTAACCATATTTAAAATGATCTCTGCCTAGCCAATTTGTTAGCATCCAATAGCAAGCTAGTTATTTTGTGTTGTTTAAATCTGCACATAAAGAGTTAATATTTCTAGAATTATGAGTAAACAGTAGTTTCATTTCACAAACTATTGAAGCTAACTAAGCAAAAAGTCTAAACTGTAAACTGAAGTAGCTGCATCTGCCAAAAAGGTCAGTGATTCAAGGCTAACTAGTCTTACTGCTTTTATTATTGAAGACTAGTTAACTTTATTTACAATTTAAGGAATATGACTAGTTCTGTACAGATGCAAACTATTTAGCAGGCTCTGGCTGACAGCAAGGTTTTTTGAATAAATACACAAATAGCATGCCATAAATAGATGCAATAAGCTCAATTTCTTCTCTTGCTTTCTGTTCAACTGCAGCTAAACTGCGCAGCCTGTATGAATCGGCCCATAAAGACTTAAAGAGGAGACCTGCAGAACTAGATTATCGCTCCGATCAGCCCAGAGACGGCTCTCTTCTCTTGTTATGTTGCCATTACCTGAGATAAGCTGATCAAATTCACAGAAACCAGAGACACCTGAGGACATATGTCACCTATGTTCTGTTTTTGGCTCATCAGAAAAACACTGGTTTAATAATTACATTTTGAAATATAGAACAAACATTTGAGATTTTTAGGACCCCTTTTTTTTTTTTTTTTGACTTTTCAGATTTATTTGAAAGAAATCAAATTGATCAGACTTACATGTTATAACTTACACTTCACTTTTATGTTGGTCTGTGATGCAAAATACAAATATAATACAGCTCTGGAAAAAATTCAGAGATCACTTAAAATGATCAGTTTCTCTGATTTTTTTTTTTTTTTGTTGCCTTCTCTTCTTTTTTTATTAATATTTTTTATTTTATTTAGAAAGACAAGTTTCAATCATATACAATAATTATAGCATTACCCATTAGAGGTCGTACATGTGGTGAAAGCATGGAATCCAGGTGGTTTTGTTCATATTGCCTTTCTGGTATTTTTTAACAGTTTTTGTTGTAAACGGTAATAAATTTGAACAAAATTGTACACACACACACAAAAAAAAATAAAATAAAAAAAAAATAATAATAATAATAAAAAATAAAAAATAACTAAAAATTGGGAATCGCACCACTTCAAGCAATAGAAGATCTCAAGAATATCGAAGGGTAGTACACATAATTCACAAGAACAATCAAGTGAAGTCTGATCTGACTGGTTTTACATACTCAGTCCATTTGGTCCAGGTCTTATAAAATTTACCTTTTTCAAGTTGAAGGGAGAAAGAAATCCTTTCCATAACATAAATCCGATAAACTATTTCAATCCATTCATCCACAGTAGGTGGGTCCGGTTTCAGCCATTTCCTGGTGATGGATTTCTTAGTGGCTGCCAGTAGGACAGCCAGCAGCTTTTTGTCTGAATTGGTCCAATTGTCCAACCGCAAGTTGCCCAGATACATCGTTTCACATTTAAATGGAATGTTTACATTAAATATGTTTTCAATGTGTTTATGGAGCTCTTCCCAATATGGTCTTATTACCTGGCAGTCCCAAAAAATATGGAAGTGATGGGCAGCATTAAGCCCACAGAGTCTCCAGCAGGCGTCCCCATTGCTTTGATATCTTCTCTGAATGGGTGTAACAAAAAATCGTGTAATGTTTTTCCAGCAAAACTCCCGCCATGTATTTGATCCGGTCGAGACCCATTGCTATTGACATATTCCCTCCCAGTCCTCTTGTGAGACTGTTGTCTTCATTTCTTTCTCCCATTTCCTCTTTATGTATTCTGGATTCCCCTGTTTAGATAGCTGTATAACTTTATATAATTTGGAGATGATTCTGCTTTCTGACCCAGGTTTAATTAGTGATAGGAATACACCCATGAAACTGGAATCACTTTCTCTCAACCCCTCTTTAAAATTTGTATTAAAATAATGTCTCACCTGCAGGTACCTAAAGAAATCATCTTTTCCCAATCCGTGATCCTTCTGTAAGGTTTCAAAACTCTGAAATTTTTCTTTGTGGGAAAATGAATAGTATGTAGTTAGTCCTGTTAAGGTCCATAGTTTGAATCTGTTATCAGTTCTGTTTGGTGCAAAATCCGAGTCATAGGCACACCATCTCATAATTTTAGATATGTCTCCGATTCTGCAGATTTTAACCAATTCCTGCCAGGACTTCAGGAAGCTGCCTCTTATGAAGTCTTCTGGTATCTGCTGTTCTTCCTGTAATTTATAATCACTAAGTAGGGCTGTTATTGGGATTCCTTTTATCGTGGTGCCTTCTATTTCCTTCCATGCTGCAGTGTATGCAGGTGAGCACAAACAGACTAAAGGTCTCAGTTGGGCTGCATGATAATATTCCCGTAGGCAGGGAAGGCCCATTCCACCCTTTTCCTTTTTTAACTGCAGAGTTCTAAACTTAATTCTGGCCTTTTTACCCTGCCATAGATACCTCGCTATTAATCGATCCCATTCTAAAAATTGTTTAGGTGGGATTCTGACAGGTAAACATTGAAATAAATACAGCAACTGTGGGAGGATATTCATCCTGATGGATTCTATCCGGGAGCTTAAACTTAAAAAGGGAATAACATTCCATCTATGTAGATCTGATTTTATTTTCAAACTTAGTGGCCCATAATTTATATCAATAGTTTTGAGACTCCAAATACTTGATAGATTCAGCCCCCCAGTTCCAGTTGTACTTTGTTTTAATAGAAGACGGTGGATCATAATTAAATGTTAATACTTGAGTTTTATTTATATTAATTTTGTAGCCAGAAATCAAACTAAACTCTTCAAGTAACTTCATCAGTTTGGGGATTGTCTGTATTATACTCATCAATAAATCGTCTGCGAATAAAGATAGTTACTGTTCTGTCATTATGACCCCCTTTATATCTGACCTTTGCCTGATCAGAGAAAGGTCAGATATTTGCCTTGTTTATTGACTCATGGTCTCAATAAACAAGGCAAAGAGGAGCAGCGACGCTCAACATCCCTGTCTGGTTCCTCTTTCCAAAGTGAATGAATTGGTCAAATCTCCATTAATTTTAATTCTAGCCGTTGGATTAGTATATAATGATTTAAATGTGTCAATTATCGCTGCATGAAATCCAAATTTTGCGAGTACCTTGTATAAAAAGGCCCACCTCACTGAGTTGAATGCTTTCTCAGCATCTAAACTTAATATCAGTGTCTCTAGTTTTTGCTGAGTTACTTCTCTCATAATGTGTTTTCCTAATGTTGTCTAACAAAGCCAGTCTGGTCTTTATGTATTAAATGTGGTAGTATAACTTCTATTCTTTTGGATAATAAGAGTTTATAATCATTATTTAGCAGACTTACCTCTTTGGGTCTGACTGAGATTATTGCCTCTCACCATGAATCGTTTTATTTATAGGACCTAGTTGAACGTTTTCTGTAATGTTGGAATTAGCTGATCTTGCATAATTTTATACCATTCTGTGGTAAATCCATCTGTCCCTGCAGACTTTCCCTTTTTAGTTCTCTTGATTGCTGATTGAATTTCCTCTTTTGTAATTTTAGATATTAATTTATTATTTTGTTCATCAATGATCTTTGAAGATTAATCATTTTCAGGAAGGCATTGATCTACTCGTCTGTGGTTGGGAATATAATGTTTTATAATATTTTTGAAAGCCGTTTTTGATTCTCTCCGGATTAGTTTCTATTTCCTTTGTTACATTATTTCTTATTTTATGTATCGTTCTGCAGGCCTGTTGTTTTCTTAACCTATAAGATAAAAGTTTCAGGGATTTCCCACCTGTCTCATAATATCCTGTTTTGTGAAAATAATCTTATTTGTATTTCCTGAGTATTAATTTCTTCTGTTTCTTTTTATAACCCTAACCCGCCACCACGCTCCATCATAATCAAGTTCCTGAGCTTTAAAACTAAAGAGATGATTCTCCACAAACCCTGGCAGAGGAAGGGCTTTACAAGGAAATCACATAAACCTGGATAACGATTATCCGCCTCTCATACTGAAGAGACGAAGGGAATACGCAGAAATCCACAAAGTATTGAAGGAACATAACATCCACTTCCAGAACCTCTTCCCCGCGAGGCTATGCATTAGATACCAGGACGGATCCAAAACCTACAATACAGTGAAGGAATCAGGTGAGTTGGCAGAACTGTGTAGTTGGGTCTCATAAAACCTCACGGTCCATACATGGGACACTGAAGATCAGATGAAGCAGGTTTTGTAGAATATCCTGTTGTTTTCAGATTCTGGGGTAAAAACATCCTGGTCCTCCTTCCCCCTCCAGGGGAGGCATAGTGTCTTCCTCCTCAGTCTTCGGGCCGTAGGGATAATGGTCATCAATGTCCAAAAAAAAGTCTTTCCTCAGTGAGGCTGATGGTTGGTAAGGAGGAAGAGCTGGATAGCGTCTAGTGATGCCAGGTGGACCTGTTGGTGCCGCTGGAAGCAAGCTCATCGCAGCAGGTTGACATGTTGGGAAGAGAGAAAAACAATCATTACTTTTCTTATCTTGTTCAGCTGATTTCTCATGTTTCTTTTCCTTTCTTCAGCTTTCTGAACCATCTGAAATGTTGTGTGTTTTGTTTTGTTTTTTATTCCTGTTTCCAGACTCTGAGTGTATCTGTGTGTGCTTGCATTATTTGTAAATGATTGAGTGAGATTTTTTTTTTTTTTCTCAGCAGCTGTTGTTTCTGTAGCAGTAAATTACTATCAAAAACTTGGGTTCAAATAACCCATGAATAGGAAATCCAAATTTATGCCATTGTGACAAATACTGAACACATAATTCCCCATTCTCTAATTGTAATTCTGCAAACCTCCTACAATTTAAAACGTTTATTTGAAACGTTGACTTCAATCCTCAGTCTAAATTAATAGACCTACAGAAATCAGTCTAAATTAATAGA